TACGAACATCTTGGGACCTCTACGAAATTTTTGGGACGTCTGCGAACATCTTGGGATGTCTGCGAATTTTTTGGGACGTTTATGAACATCTTGGGACGTCTACCAATTTTTTGGGACGTCTACGAATATCTTGGGACCTCTACGAAATTTTTGGGACGTCTACGAATTTTTGGGTCATCTACGAATTTTTCGAGACGTCTACGAACACAAGCAATTCCGGGGCAGCCGTTATCGCGACACTGGACCGATGAAATGCGACGAATAACGTGACCCGGTGCCATTTTTACGGGGGCCGTTCACGAGATCTTTTTCTCGTTCATTCGCGCCGTATGTTCCGCGAAAGAGAATTCGCAGACGCCTCCTTTCTTTCGGCGCCCGCGTGGCAGTCGATTCGTGCTGGAAAGTCCGGCGAATCGCGGAACAATCGATACGGTGTCTGGGGACCGGCGTTTAATTAATGAAAGTCATGCGGCTCGGCGTAAACAGTCTCGGAAGGCATTGTCGACTGTTTTTTTTTTTCGGCGAAGCGATTATCTTCGAAATCCCCGTCTCTCCCGGTGTATTCGAACGTCGCGTCGATTACAATTGGGTCGGCCGATAGCCGATTTATTATAAATAGATCGTGACGCGTGTTTATTTAGATGATTTCGGGAAATGTTTTCGTCGATCGGGATCTGCGACGTTCCTGCTCTATTTTGAACGCGGCGCTGCCTTACGTTTGGCAAGATCGATTTTCTTGTTCTTATTATTTATTCGAAAGGATTCGCGCGGATCGTCGCGCGAAATCTGCCGCGTCCATTTGCAATGGAAACGTGCCGTTTTCTTTGGCAAAGCGGCGTTCAAGTACTCGATAATATACAGGGTGTCTCGCCTGTAAATCGAGTACGGTCGTGACGAGAATAAGAAAATGGCCTGGTTTAAGAAAAAAGAGAAACAAATTGACCTTGGAATATCCTCCACTATTGTACGATTGGAAAAATTGTTAATACTATGTAAGACAGTTTTTTTACACTGAACAGTTTGTGTATAAATCTTTTTTGTAGCCTCGACCCATTTCGAGACATTTATTATATCATATTATTATATTATAAATTTATTATATTATATTATATTATTATATTATAAATTTATTATATTATATTATATTATTATATTATAAATTTATTATATTATATTATATTATATATATTTATATTATTCCCAAAAATGTCTCGTAATACGGAAATGGGGGGTAGTTGAGGTCATTTGAAGCAACTTTTTCCTTAGCGAAAATTCAACCCGCGGCTTTGTTTACGAAATATCGCTCATAAATTGCAACAGATGCATTTGTCGTGCATGCAACGAACGCGATGCATTTGCCGATATTTTTAGACGACGAACGAAGATCCATTCCGTCGAAGGACGACGGAACAGGATCGTTCGCGTAACAGCGCGAACATTCGCGGAACAATGAAACTTTTAACTGCAACATAAAAATTGCTTGTGCGAGCGATTGAGCGCGGCGCAGGGCCCGGGTGTCCATTTGTTTTCGTATTGAGCGTTGACAGCGTTAACCGGTCGCTACCGATGCGTCGCGCGGCACGTCACAATTTAATGTGCCCGATACCCCAGCGCCCGTGATGAAAACATGCGTCTTAATCGATCGGTGGACACCGTCGAGAGATCCACGATTAAATCACACGCCGGTCAGTCTATTTTCTGCCGGCCGAATGACGCACGAATTTTCGTCCCTCATTTGCACCGACGTTTCGAGCGAGAAATTGACCGTCCAGCGACCGGAAGCGCGCACCACGGGACCGGAAATGTGTTTTCTCTTGTCGCGGCCGGCGGGCCGCGCCGCGCCGATCGACCTTTCGATTCGAGCCTGTCGATCGATTCCGCGCACGCCGTTCAATCGCACGCTATCTATTTTCGTTCGGATCGACGCACGCCGTCGCAGATCAAAGTATCGTAACATTCGAGTCGAGTTCCTCGAATTCCACGGAGTTATCTCCCGTTAATTAACGGTCTCTTAATACGATTTTAATCGGCCGATCGTGGGAAATCGGTGGCGTTCTGGATTTATCTCGCGCGTGAGAAGTAGCGACGAATTGGTTGTTTAAATTGTGATTTTAGCGAGAACACAAATATATTCTCAAATTTCAAGATGTTTACTGTACAGTAATGTCTCCCTAATTGATACGATTATTCGAGCCTTGCAGCACGTTTTTATATTTTTTTTTAGCAGAAGTTGCCGATTATTTTAGTGCAATTGGGTAAGCGCGGGTATTACTGCGAACGTCTCAAATACTGCGGCAAAGTAAGTAATGAAATCTAACATTTTATAGTGTGTGATCTTCTAAAAATGAATTGTACAATTGTTTTGTACGTTTAATATTGATAGTTTATGATATGCAAGTAACTCGCGGTAATAGATGCATAACCGTAGTAATGTACGCAAACGTATGGTTTCTTTACATCGAGCTATTTAACGAAATCTGTGCTTTCAGAGATCGAATATTTTGAGAAAAGTAAATATTCAAGTTAAAGAATAACAGGTATAGCTCAAGCTATCAATGTATTTCCGCGAAAGGTTATTTATTTTTTATGTAAAAGTTCGCCATGATTGAGGAACCGCAGTACAGTAATGTCTCCCTAACTGACGCTCGGATTGTCCACGAAAATGGACAATTTGGGAAGAGGAGATACGATTATTCGGAGACAATTCGGTGGCCACGTGACACGATTCGAAGATATTTCGAAGGCCACGTGACACGATTCGAAGATATTTCGAAGGCCACGTGACACGATTCGAAGATATTTCGAAGGCCACGTGACACGATTCGAAGATATTTCGAAGGCCACGTGACACGATTCGAAGATATTTCGAAGGCCACGTGACAAGATTCGAAGACAAGCACAGGGAAATTCACAGCGACCCGAAATTTGGCATTTCCGAGAGAAATTTCTGTATTTGTATTCTATGATATTTATACAATATAGCGTTATTATGCATACAGTAATGTCTCCCTAACTGACGCTCAGATCGCGCACAAAAATGGACAATTTGGGAAGAGAAGATGCGATTAATCGAGCCTTGCAGCACGTTTTTATAGTCGTTGACAATTCGTGGCTATAAAAATGAACCGCAAGGCTCGAACAATCGTTTCTCCTCTTCCAAAATTGTCCATTTTTGTGGTCAATACGAACGTCAATTAGAGAGACATTACTGTATTTTGAGACTAGGTGAGAATACAAGAAATAAATACAAAATATGAATAAGAGATTAGAAAAGAATCGCGCACGTTGCTTCGCTGAATATCGCACAGTCTACAGCAGCAATTTAAATTCTTAATTGTTAATTTCATAAAATAAAATCATCTTTTTCATCCAATATTGCAACAGCGTCGTTTACTCTGTGTTCGACGAGTATGCTCGTCGTCATTCTTCCTCGTCGTCGCTCGATTCTCGCGACGCTGCAGATACGAATCAATATTTTGCCGGCCGGAATTTGTTTGGCCGAGTCGAAATCAATTTGCAGACGGTGAATCATCGATACGCGAGAGCAGCGAGCGAATTACGACGATGCGGTTTGATAAAAAGCGTCGAACGAAACAATAAGCGGCACGAAATATTTTCCATTCGAGCTCGCATAAATAAAACGAGCTATTCCCGGGAGGATCTTCGAAAATATTCTCGAGACATCAAACGAACGGCGCTGCAATTCCTCCGCCTATCTTTTACGCTTGTACTAGGATACGACAGCAAGTCTCAGAATTCCTTTGAGAATTACTGGCCCTTTAGACCTATTCCAAATCCCAGAATACCCTGCAGTCCTTGATCCAGATCGCCCCGGGCAGAACGCTGCCGACACAACATTCTCCGTTTCAACTGCGATTAACTTCCAACATCCCTCAGTCGTTTATCGGTTTATCGGGAAACATCCTCGAACAATTTCCACAACTAGTCACAAATCCACTTAATTATATCCGTAAATTAAGCCACGCTGATTATAACACTAGAAGTTTGGCTCATTCGAACTATGCGCGACTTATTCGAACAATGACTCTTGAATGACTCTCGACGAATTCGTTCAAACTCTTTCAAACCATTTCGAACTCGTTCGAACAATTCTCAATTTACCGATACACAAACAACAAACCACCTAGCTACCTTAATTTTTATCTGCTATCCTAAAAAGCCAAGCTGACATTTCAATCGGACTTGTCAAATTATCAAACAACCATTTCTCCATATTGATCGATTAATTAACCCTTTGTAGTCTACTCGATCATTACAAATCGTTCTATCACGTTCCAAAATATTTTTAATATTATCAAATTTTATTCTTGTAAATATATATATTCTTATATATTCTTATATAATATATATATATATATATATATATATATATATATATATATATATATATATATATTATATATTCTTATATAAATATATTCTTGTAAATAATAAATAAAATGCGAATAAATAATAGTCAAGTCTCGATTACGCCAAACAATATCCCCAGAAAGTGAAAAAGTTCCACTCATTCAGTATCGTAAAGACACTCAACCCTTTGTACTCGTCATATCGCGTTCCAAAAATATTATCAATTAAATTCGTTCGTTTAAAAAAAAAAGAACTGCTGAAATCGTAGCAGCTGCACGAGTGACAAAAACTCCATTTCACACGTACAAATACGCGCCAGAGATTTATACAAAATATAGAAATACCCGAGATAAGAAAAGCTATTTCGGTTAAATGGTTAACCGTTTAATCACCATCGATCCAATCAGTGCTCGCCGAGCCCACAGCGCACGATCAACAATCCGGAACATTCCCGGAAAGCCGCGTCGTCGGCCTACCGGCAGCGTCGTAACATGCCCGGCAAACCGGAAGACGATCGTCCCGCCGACGCATCGGTCAACAAACGCCGACAGTTTCGCAGGTCCGCGCGCGGCAAGGTGTTCCGCGAACCTGTCAGCCGAACGTAAGAAAACGCGCAAACAACAACTCACCGGTCCGCGATCTCCTTTCCCAGAAAAGCTCTCCTCCTCCTTGCTGGCGGACAAGCCGCGCCGCGGCTCTCTCCCCCCGGCCGTCTGGCGTCTCTGGCTTTTCTCAATGCTCGTCGAAGGAGAAAAAAAGGAAGAAAGAAAGGGGAGCGGGGCGGGCGCGCGCGCGGTAGCGGGATAGATCCGCGGGGATCGCGAGCTGGGCGCGTGAAAAAAGGAGATCGACTGTCGGCTGCGTCGGCGGCGGCGGATCCAGGAGGATCGCGCGTGGCGGCTGTCAGGAAACTCGCACTCGGAGGAAGCTGATTCAGCGTCCGTGCATTCCTGCTGTTATTTCAGGCGAGCCGCCGGCCGTTATAAATCCTCCGGCGCTGTTGTCTCGCCGCGGCCATCGTCCGTGAACCGCGATCCCGAGGAACCCCGATGGAGAAAAAAGAAATCCTCCGCTCGTGTTCACCGGCTCGCGAAAAACTCCTCGAAAATCCTCCGTGTCGGTCTCGCGTGTCCTTACAAACTGGTCACCGCACCCGCCGGAACCACCCCCTTCTCACTGACACTCTCACTGATACTCTCTAATCGATCCACCAAAGGCGAGAAAATTCCACTTTCCCAAGAAAATTCGGCCGGCCGGCTCGACGCTTCGCGCCGCGACGGGGTCGAACAACCCCCGATCGATTATCCTTCGCCACGATCCTTTTCGAATTATACGGTACACTGTCCGCAGTTGCTATCGTTTCGACGACACTGTCGCGATCGAATTCGGGTGACCGGGTGCTTGTCACTGAGCAGGGTGAACCACCCCTCGATTATCCTTCTGGTTTAATACACCGTCCGTGAACTGCTGTTCGTGAGCTGCAATTATCGTTCGGCACTTTTCGGAGAAATTTATGTTCGCGATGGATTCGCGGGAGATCGTCGATCGACCACTGATCAGGGCTGACGCGCAGGAGCAACCCTTCGGGGCCGCGGCTCACCGTCGAACAATGGTTGCTCTGCTCACCGTCCCGGCGACGCTTCGTCGAAGGTGGAGGAAAGCGATCGATGGATTCGATGGAATCAGTGGTTGACACTGGCCGCGGACGATCAACCCCCGAGACGACCGGTCGTTCGGTGGCACGCGAGAGACACCCCTGCCGGGACGAGTACACGGTCCACAGTGCGGCTGTTGCTGCCGTCGCGGCGACACTGACACAAACTACGCGCGAGAGAGGATGCGCTCGAGGAAAGCTCGGGGCGAAGTGCCAGAAGAGTCGTCGCTTGAAATAACCGCTCGTCCACGGCCTCCCTCCAACCCCGTTGCTGCTCTCTCGTTGCCGTACCCCTCCTCCCTTCTCCCCGCTCTCGCACTCTCCCTCTTCCTCTCTCTCGCACTGTCTCTCTTTCTCTGTCGCGCGCACTCTCTCGTATTCTCTCTCTCTCTCGCTCTCGCTCTCTCTCTCTCTCTTTCGCCCTGAAACTCGACTGCCTAGCCGTCTACTCGTTGCACACCAGCGAAACTTGACCCCCACCCTCTCTCTTTCTCTGCTCTCCTATATGTTGTACTCGGTTTTTCTCCGTCCCTCGCGCTCTATCTTTCCTCTCCGACTTCCCTGCTCTTCTTTCGCACTGTCCGCGCTGCGTGCAGCAGCGCGCAGAGCTCCCTCGGAGCTGCGGTGTGCACGCGCGCACGTGCGTGCCCGCGACGAGACGCGGCGCGACGCGGTGTTTTCGCGCCACTCGCTCGGGCCCAGCGCCGACCAAGTATTTACTGCGTTGCTAATGGGAAATGGAAACGCGGATGGGGAAACGGGGATGTTGCGGGAGCCGAACGGGAACAGGAAACGGGCATAATAACAATGGCTGTTTTATTGCGGATTGTAAAACCGGACGGGGTGGTTCAGCGATTAGGCTCCGCTGGCTCGCGCGTGGACGACGTTGATCGCGCGATTACCTTGGGCGAGGTTGCTTTGGATCGGAGGGTTGGAAGAGTTTGACTTATAATAATTTGATTTGTATGTGGAAGGAATATTGTTGGTCCCTTGGTGTACTAATGGGTCGTTCGGAAAGTTGTTTCGTTCTTTCGCGAGATAATGAAAGACGATTTTTTCAATGTTACGGGTAAAAGCAAACTTTTTGACATTTTTCTGGTAGCTTTGAAATCTTATTGCTTTACATTTGGAAAAATATTGAATCACGTGCTTTTTGACACCCTTACAAAATGAAACAACTTTCCGAACGATTTAAATATTTTTTCACGGTTACGACTGCGATTTGAAAATTTTCGTTTGCGAACATTTCTTGGGAGGGAAAGAAAATTGATGCTCATCGTGCGCCTAAATTTACTTAATTTTTTAATTCACGATTGTTCATATCGTAAAGATACATTTATTAGAGTTATTTATTCAAATTATACGTTACTTACGTTACAGATGTTACAATAACGCTTGTTAAAAATCAGAATAAATGTCTTATTGCTACTTTTATAAACTAATATGAAAGAGTTGTTCTTTGTGCTCCGTAAATCTAGCGTTAAAAATATCTGACGACAAGAGAATAGAATTTTAGTCCAATTTTCGAGGACAGAATGACTTTTATACTCGACGAGTTGTTGCTAGAAATTTTCGTGGCAAGCACGACGAGAGATTAACTTAAAGATATCGCATTTTTTAGATAAAATTTGATCTATAATTTTCATTTTTTGAATTTCTGATACAAAGTGCGACGTGGCTTTGTCTTGATCTTGTCCAAACGTTTAGGAAACAAGTTGCAAACAGAGATGAAAAAGATGCAAAAATGATGCTTTCGAAAACAGAATAATATAATAAAATTCCAATGAATTATAATAATAATATTCATGAAATAGAACGAAATTGCAGAAAAGCAATTAATTATTAACAAGCGTTTCTCGACACCTTCGACAGAAATAGCATATTAAAATTAGAAATCTTTGATCTGGGCGACTTAATAAGCGTTCCTCTGTCTAATTTACGAGAGGATGCATCGAAAACCTATCGCGCTTCGAACACCCGGATTGTTTGCTCACGTACCTGATACATTCATCAGAGCGTTAACGATAACTGCAAATCATGTCTTATCTTGCGCAATATACATCGATAAAGTAAGAGCCGATCTGTAAATATTGCGCGCGTGTAACGACCAGCCTCTTGCTACTTAGGCGATTATTTTCGTACGTTTACGTTACGCATAGACCGTGTCCGAAAACGTGCGAACCTCTCGGAACACGTAGATCCGTTGCACCGTCGAGCCAGAACAAAGAGTTTTCGAATTCAAATTAAATCTAAGATCCACCGTCCGGTGTTTAAAACGATTAAAAAGCGATACAGATTCAACGCTGGAACTGCCAAATCAGTCGAAATGACCGATTTCCGATTTTTTTTCTCACAGTTTCCGACGCTACAAAATTGTCTTTGTCACAGACATTGATATCTGAACTTCTTCATCTAAGCATACATTGTAATAAAAATCGTTATATTGTACTTATAATGTAATATTGTAATGAAAAGAAAGTTCAAGTCGAAATGACCGATTTCCGATTTTTTTTCTCACAGTTTCCGACGCTACAAAATTGTCTTTGTCACAGACATTGATATCTGAACTTCTTCATCTAAGCATACATTGTAATAAAAATCGTTATATTGTACTTATAATGTAATATTGTAATGAAAAGAAAGTTCAAGTCGAAATGACCGATTTCCGATTTTTTTTCTCACAGTTTCCGACGCTACAAAATTGTCTTTGTCACAGACATTTTTATCCGAACTTCTTTATCTAAGCATTCATTGTAATAAAAATCGTTATATTGTAATTATAATGTAATATTGTAATGAAAAGAAAGTTCAAGTCGAAATGACCGATTTCCTATTTTTTCTCTCATAGTTTCTGATGCTATAAAATTGTCTTTGTCATGGAAATTTTGTGTCCGAACTTCTTCATCTAAGAATCTATTGTAATAAAAATCGTTCTATTGTAATTATAATGTAATATTTTAACGTATATTGTAGTTATAAATAATCATATTGTATTGAAAAGAAAGTTCAAATAAATCCAATCTTTTTTTTTTGTCGTCGTTACTAAATAATACAAATTAATTGCGTTTAGGGCACGGTAGTGTTCATTGTTACCGTCAAACCTGCCGAGACTGAATCTACTTCGACCTTTCGTTATTTTTACTACGATAATTTACAGAATTACAGTAAATTCTCCGTAATTTTCCTTCAGCTCGCGAACAAAACTGAAAAATTAGGGAAGAAGAGACGCGGAAGATTCGAGCCGCGCGGCTCATTTTTATTAAAGTGAAGCGATCGTCCATTTTTGTTTACAAGCTGAAGGAAAATTAGGCCAATTAATATAGGAATATTGACATAAGGAGTAGCTAATATAAAATATTAGCATAAGGAAAATTAACCAAACCGAATTTATCTCGACCTTTTATTTATTTTTACCACGAGAACGCTCGAATAGAGAAATTGATAGAATTATTTCCTACAAAGAGGAGACCTTGTAACCCGATCAATTTCGGACGAAAAAAAAGGTGCCGTCACGGTAGATTTAGTGTTAACACAGACGCCGTATATACATATACATATATCCGTGGCGGTCCGCAACAAAACCGCAGGAACGCCGAAGTGTCGCGCGCGAGGACACCGTAAACTGCGCCAGGTGATCCCTGAACCACCGTGTCAATCGCTTCAGAAATCCGTCAGCCAGTCTGTCCCTAATAATAGTCGTTCATACAGCGCGCGCGAGTCATCGCGATCAAACCAGTCATCGTTTCTTCCTATAAATAACCGACAGAGAGACAGTGGCACGGGACGTAAAACGAAGAAAAGGGACGCGGCGAGGACTACGACGAAGACGAAGACGAAGAAGAAGACGAAGATGAAGACGAAGAAGACGAAGAAGAAGAAGAGGACAAAAAGAAGAAGAAGACGACTACGAAGAAGAAGAAGAAGAGGAAGAAGCGGGAATGGTGTGCAGCCTCGAGGTCCCTAGCAGTCTGTTCCAGTCCGTAGTTCCCCAAGTTGGCACGGTGTTAGGTGTCCGGAGGGGAAACGGTGGTCGTTCGTCGGGAACCGCGCGTATCTCGCCAGCGTGTCCTCGGGGCTAGACGCCGGGCACGCTAGGAACGACGGGAAAATAGGGGTTGAACGTAGGAAGCGGCTCGGCCGAGCAAGGTTGCCGTTTCTGCTCGCGTCCGTCGAAAAGTCATCCGCCGGGACGCGATCATTGCCGTTATTAGGCGGGAGTCGGCAACCGTGAACCAGCAGGCGGATCGCGAGCAGCCTTCGATGCGATCCTATGACCAACGAGATTGAACGGTTCATCCTGTTCCGATCCCGGGAACCCTGCAATCGCGACTCGCGATCGTAACTCGCGCGCCGGCTTCTCGATACAGTAATGTCTCTCCAATTGACGCACGGATTGTCCACAAAACTGGACAATTTGGGAAGCAGAGATACGATTGTTCGAGCCTTGCGGTTCATTTTTATAGCCACGAACATTCGTATCTTCTTTTCCCAAATTGTCCATTTTTGTGCGCGATCTGAGCGTCAGTTAGGGAGACATTACTGTATGCATAATAACACTATATTTTATAAATATCATAGAATACAAATACAGAAATTTCTCTTGGAAATGCCAAATTTCGGGTCGCTATGAATTTCCCTGTGCTTGTCTTCGAATCGTGTCACGTGGCCTTCGAAATACCTTCGAATCGTGTCATGTGGCCTCCGAATTGCCTCCGAATAATCGTATCTCCTCTTCCCAAATTGTCCATTTTCGTGGACAATCCGAGTGTCAGTTAGGGAGACATTGCTGTACTGCGGTTTCTCAATCATGGCGAACTTTGACAGAAAAAATAAATAACTTTTCGCGGAAATAAATTGATAGCTTGAACTATACCTGTTATTCTTTAACTTGAATATTTACTTTTCTCAAAATATTCGATCTCTGAAAGCACAGATTTCGTTAAATAGCGCGATGTAAAGAAACCATACGTGTGCATACATTACTGCGGTTACGTATCTATTATCGCGAGTTACTTGCATGTCATAAACTATCGATATTAAACGTACAAAGAAAAATGTAAAATTCATTTTTAGGAGATCACGCACTATAAAATGTTATATTTTATTACTTTCATGAAACACCGCAGCATTTGAGACGTTCGCAGTAATACCTGCGCTTACCCAATTACACTAAAATAATCAGCAACTTCTACTAAAAAAAACTATAAAAACGTGCT